GATTGATTATAATTGTCAATAAAATAATTATATAGGTATGGTTGAAACCAAATACGGGACATAAGGGAGAGCAAATAAAAATTAGGGCATAAAATATTAAATATACACTAATATTGAAGAGCTAATTGATGATTGCCAAACAAGGACATTGCGAGATAGTTTTCCTTTGTTGTGTGATTTGAATACTCTTGTTGTCAATAAATCCTGCAAGTAGTTAATATGATTGACTTAATTATATATTTTTTAAAACAATTATTATTATTATTATTATTATTATTATTATTATTATTATTATTATTATTATTATTATTATTATTATTATTATTATTATTATTATTATTATTATTATTATTATTATTATTATACCCTTAGCTCATTTTACATGTTAATCTAAACAACTAATTTTTTCAAATATATTTTTACCAACCATTGATATAATTCGCTAGTCAAATTCGCTAATATAATCCGCTAACGCTAACCGCTAACTGCTGATTGTCAAACAAGGACATTGCGAGGTAGTTCTCACTTCAATTTGTTGTGTGATTTGAATACTCTCTTTGTCAACAAATCCCTCAAAGTAGTTAATATGATTGACTTTATTAATTATATTTTTTAAATTTTTTCATGGTATTAATAAAATACTTGGTAAATAAATATATAACATTATTTTGTATTATAACTTTGATCTTTAATTAAAAAATAGTGCACAACTAAGATAATAGACAATGTATAGTAGTGAATATAATCAATTGATGAATTTGAATGTAAGAAATTTTACATTGGAGAAATATAAAGACAAAATAACTAATAAAATTATTTCTCTTAATTAATTTATTGATAATGAATAATTTTTTTTTTTAAATAAAGCATTGTAGGAGCAATGTAGCGAATATAATCAATTGATGAATTTGAATGTAAAGATTTTTTATATTGGAGAAAAATAAATACAATATAACTAATGAAATTATTTCTGTTATTTAATTTATAGATAATGAATAATTTTTTTTGAATAAAGACATTGTAGACACATAATTCTAAATTGAAGAATGCATATGTATTATTTTTTGTTGTAGCTACTAAATTATTACGGAGTATTTATTAATATAATTTAATAAGAGTAAAATAGAGTACTAATTATGTCAACTTTGATTGGGATGAGGTTCGAACCTAAGACATTTCTTATTGAAATCAATGAGTAAGTTAACGGAGAACTAACAGAAATTAACGGAAAAGATAATATTTAACGGAAAAGTTAACGGAAAATCATATTCATTAAGGATAAATTAGGAAATCTTAAGGAAAAATTAAAATCTGAGTCATTCATTTGATTAAAAAATTTAACCGCCATTTTTTCTACCCATTATAGGCCTAACTCTCTTGGGCTCTTATTAGTATAGTAGATTTTAATTTTTTCATGGTATTAATAAAATACTTGGTAAATAAATATATAACATTATTTTGTATTATAACTTTGATCTTTAATTAAAAAATAGTGCACAACTAAGATAATAGACAATGTATAGTAGTGAATATAATCAATTGATGAATTTGAATGTAAGAAATTTTACATTGGAGAAATATAAAGACAAAATAACTAATAAAATTATTTCTCTTAATTAATTTATTGATAATGAATAATTTTTTTTTTTAAATAAAGCATTGTAGGGGCAATGTAGCGAATATAATCAATTGATGAATTTGAATGTAAAGATTTTTTATATTGGAGAAAAATAAATACAATATAACTAATGAAATTATTTCTGTTATTTAATTTATAGATAATGAATAATTTTTTTTTTGAATAAAGACATTGTAGACACATAATTCTAAATTAAATAATGCATATGTATTATTTTTTGTTGTAGCTACTAAATTATTACGGAGTATTTATTAATATAATTTAATAAGAGTAAAATAGAGTACTAATTATGTCAACTTTGATTGGGATGAGGTTCGAACCTAAGACCTTTCTTATTGAAATCAATGAGTAAGTTAACGGAGAACTAACAGAAATTAACGGAAAAGATAATATTTAACTGAAAAGTTAACGGAAAATCATATTCATTAAGGATAAATTAGGAAATCTTAAGGAAAAATTAAAATCTGAGCCATTCATTTGATTAAAAAATTTAACCGCCATTTTTTCTACCCATTATAGGCCTAACTCTCTTGGGCTCTTATTAGTATAGTAGAGATACTAGTTTTTTACGCGCATTGCGCGATTGGGATAATGCTCAATGTTTTTTTTTTTTTTTTTTAAATAAGTACTTTAAAGTATATTAAGGCAAGATTATATTGAAATTGTTCATGCATAGATAATTGAAGGTTGAATTTGCGTATTTAAATAGGTAATTCTTCTCCCAAAGGTTGTGTCCCCAACCCCAAGGGCCCCCCACACTCTGACTCGACAGAGCATTGTGGGAAGTTGTAAATCACGGTGACTCAATGGTTCAGCAGACAGGACCAAATGCCGGTGCGAACAAGGAATTTGCCCACTTTGGACATAATTCCCGCACTGCCGCCGCCGAGGTTCAAACCTTGGTCTCTTCTCCCAAATACTGCCCACTAAACCATTAAGCTAAGCCCGTGTGGGTTAAATAGGTAATTCTAAGTTTACAAATGCAAGATAATATAGTCAAGATTGATTATAATTGTCAATAAAATAATTGTATAGGTATGGTTGAAACCAAATACGGAACATAAGGGAGAACAAATAAAAATTAGGGCATAAAATATTAAATATATACTAATATTATTTGAGGAGATTTCGACATTAGGATTTGTGGTTAAGTTCTATTAAGACTTTAATTAATATTAGAATTAGATTAATGGTGTAATTATAATTCTATATTAGACGTTAATATTAGAATTAGACTAACGGTGAATTAACGGTATTTAACGAAAATGTTAAATGGATAATCATATAATTAAGGATAAATTAGAAAAACATTAAAAAAAAAAATTAAAACCTGAACAATTTGAATCATTCATTTGATTTAATAATTTGGCGGTCATTTTTTCTACCCAATGTTAATAATTAAATAAATTCGTTGGTCAAATCCGCTAACTGCTGATTATCAAACAAGGACATTGCAAGGTAGTTCTCACTTCAATTTGTTGTGTGATTTGGGTACTCTCTTTGTCACAAAATCTCTCAAATAGTTAATATGGTTGGCTTTATTAATTATATTTTTTTTAATTTTTTCATGGTATTAATAAAATACTTGGTAAATAAATATATAGCATTATTTTGTATTATAACTTTGATATTTAATTAGAAAAATAGTGCACAAAAAAGATAATAGACAATGTAGTGAATATAATCAATTGATGAATTTGAATGTAAAAATTTTTACATTTGAGAAAAATAAAGACAATATAACTAATGAAAATATTTCTCTTAATTAATTTATTGATAATGAATAATTTTTTTTTTTACTGAATTAAGACATTGTAAGGACAATGTAGCGAATATAATCAATTAATAAATTTCAATATAAAGAATTTTTATATTGTAGAAAAATAAAGACAATATAACTAATACAATTATTTCTCTTATTTAATTTATTGATAATGAATAATTTTTTTTGAATAAATGCATTGTAGACACATAATTCTAAATTAAAGAAATGCATATCTATAATTTTTTGTTGTAGCTACTAAATTATTATTTATATAATTTAATAAGAGTAAAATAGAGTACTAATTATGCCAACTTTGATTGGGATGAGGTTCGAACCTAAGACCTTTTTTTTTTTTTTTATTGAAATCAATGAGTAAGTTAACGGTGAACTAACGGCAATTCTTAAAATTTTAACGGAATTAGTAACAGTGTGTGGGTATTTTAGGAAATTTTAGTGTAAAATTTAAATCTTATCAATCTTTTAATCAATCTGAGCCATTCATTTGATTAAAATCTGTGACCGCCATTTTTTCTACCCATTATAGGCCTAACTCTCTTGGGCTCTTATTAGTATATATATATATATATATATATATATATATATATATATATATATATATATATATATATATAGTAGATATTTCTCTTATTTAATTTATTGATAATGAATAATTTTTTTTGAATAAATGCATTGTGGACACATAATTTTAAATTAAAGAAATGCATATCTATAATTTTTTGTTGTAGCTACTAAATTATTATTTATATAATTTAATAAGAGTAAAATAGAGTACTAATTATGCCAACTTTGATTGGGATGAGGTTCGAAGCTAAGACCTTTTTTTTTATTGAAATCAATGAGTAAGTTAACGGTGAACTAACGGCAATTCTTAAAATTTTAACGGAATTAGTAACGGTGTGTGGGTATTTTAGGAAATTTTAGTGTAAAATTTAAATCTTATCAATCTTTTAATCAATCTGAGCCATTCATTTGATTAAAATCTGTGACCGCTATTTTTTCTACCCATTATAGGCCTAACTCTCTTGAGCTCTTATTAGTATAGTAGATATATATATATAATAGTAGATAGTAGATAAATATGATTATTAGTTTTATCATTTCAAAGTTTCTACCAATTGGGGGCTCTGGAACAATTTCAAAATGTTGGGCAGCAATCTGTTTGTTGGGCAGGACAATATTAATTGCAAATCAGACTTTTTAGAATCCTTCACCAATATAAATAGTGTCTAAAGCAATGGTTAGTGTCTGCATAATTGCATATGTAAGTCCCTTTTAAACTACTATGTTGAAGAACATATATTAAAAGCTCCTAAGAAGGCACTTGATCTGGCTTGTTCTTTTACTATCCGAAATCATCTTCTTATATATTCTTAAAGATTTTTTATATTTTCTTTTAATAAGGAAAAGAGTTAAATAAGCCTCTAAACATTACCTGAAAAGTCAATTAAATCGCTAAATTTTAAAAACGTACAATTACACTCTTTAACATCTCATATTGAAGCAATTAGGTCCAATATATAACAGATAAATGACCTGCAATTGTAGGTCATTTTTTATTTCGGCGAAAATTTGACGATGGCCGAACCGTCGCCGGTCGCCATCTCCATGGAAGGTGACCGCTGGGCGCCTTCTCTCAATGAGAAGTCCATGGAAGGCGACCAGTCGCCTTCCGCCGGAGAAGGCGACTAACTGGTCGCCTTCCGCGGCGGAAGGCGAACGCCCGCCGGAGATGGCAATCTGCGACAGTTCGACCGTCGTCGAATTTTCGCCGAAATAAAAAATGACCTACAATTGCAGGTTATTTATCTATTCTTAGACCTAATTGTATCAATATGACATGTTAAAAGTTGTAATTACAATTTTTTAAAGTTTAAGGGCCTAATTGATTTTTCAGGTAATGTTTAAGGGCTTATTATTATTTTCTCTTTTTTATATTTTCTGCCATTTATTAATATTATATTAATTATTAATAGCCACCGTGCTTTTAGAGATTACTTCAACGGTGTCCAATTTCTGCAGCCTTAATAGATTACTTGATCGTTTTCCGGCTATCCTCAAAAGGTCCGTCCCAGTTGAAGAAACCCCAGCTGCTGGAACCTCAAGAAAGCAACTTGTTACTCCCAAGTTTCTCTCTTCTGGAATGGAACACAATCTTCCAATTGGTTGGCGCTTCTTTAAGGTTATGAGGCGGGGGTTCCATACCAGACTCGTATGTTGTTCTCTATCCTAGGATCTGCTCTTTGTCAGTTAGTCTTATGTGATGCTTTGTTTTTTTTTGTTTTATAATTTTCTCTACTTAATTGTTGCATGCATAGAACCTGCCGCCCATTATGTGTAAGAAGCTTGGTGAAAAAAAGGCGGAAGAAGCGGTGTTAACAGGCCAAAATGGGAGCTTCAAAGTTAAAATCCAAGAAGGCAAAGATCAAAGGCTCTGTTTCACAAAGGGGTGGGATGATTTTGTGGGGCAAAATGGCATATCTCGTGGAGATTTTGCCGTGTTTGAACACATGGGCAGTTTTCATTTCAGTGTCGTTCTGTTTGATCTAACTTGTTGCCAGAAAGATGTCCATGTCAACCCAGAAACCACCAGCAATGACAGTGAAGGTGGGTTACCATTCTCTGCATATCTCTAACATTTGCACACATTTTCACAGCAAACCAAAACCCACCCTAGCTAAGTTAGTCGATTGAGTTTATCTCATACACACTGTGGCCCCGTTTGGTAAAATAGTTAGTCTATAAGTCAATTTTGACTTATTTGATCACTATTAATTTTTTAATTTGGTTAAAAAATAAGTGTTTAATTAGCTCTTTGTAACTTTAAAATGCTAAAAATAAAAAATTTGCTCAAAGCAACTTTTTCAATTAACTTTTTGAGAAAAGAAATTATACCAAACAGCTATCAGCCACTACAAGAAAAATGCACATAGACAACAGTTTTTAACACAAACGTTGTCTTTTGTATAAAAGACAACAGTTTGGTCCAAAACCATTGTCTTTGATGCAACACTTTTGTCAAAGACAACGGTTTTTACTTAACCGTTGTTATAACTGTGTTGTCTTTGTGCATTTTGTGAAAAGACAACACCACAACAACAACGGTTTACCAAACACCTTTCTACCATCAGCTAATGTTATCAACTAGTTATACCCTCTAAGTAACCCAATCAGGTAACAACTATCAGCTAACAACCATTTACCAAAAATAAAAAAGCAGATTACTATTGTTTGTTGTAGGAGGAAAGAATTTGTGTACCGGGCAAGAAAATTCTAGTTGCTTTACAACCACCATCAAAGCATACAATTTACGCAGATGTCCTTACATGGTGAGGCTGTTACTCATTGTTTGAGCACTATTTTTTCCAAACATTTTGTTCATATTAGTACTAACTTGTATTACTATGAACTTTAATCTGCAGCACATTCCACGGAAGTTTTGTACATCAAACAATCTTTTGATGAGCACAATAAGCATCACTCTAAGAGGACCCTGTGGTAAAATCTGGCCAGCCAAACTTAGATCATATGTTAAGACAAGTGGAGGGCTAGGCTATGCATGCATTTTAGATGGGTGGAAAGAATTTGCCATACACTATGATCTTAAGGAGGGAGATATCTGCAGCTTTCAGTTCATTCGTCGCTCGACTTCTTACTCTTTCATGGTGGATGTGAAGATACTTCCGGCCTGTTAATTAACTTACTTCGCTTTAGCACTAATCCAAGATGACCTCTTTTTTTTGGTCCTTTTTGAATCATCTTGGCAAATACAGCATGTGTTTTTTGGTCTGTTTGTGGATATTTTGGCAAACATGGTAGGAAGCTGCTAGCTTCCTTTCTACTGATATGATAATATTGGGCAAAATGCAGTAATCTTGTTCTCATTTCTTTTATCAGTTTCATGACTTTCTGATCTCTTCATCTAACAAAGAACTGGGGGGATGAGGATTGAGCGAGGCAGCTACTTTAATGGCTGGTTAAACTATTTAACATTCCAATTTGGTGAATCAAAATGACTTTCTATTTCCGTCTTAATTGTCTGGTCACCAAATAAGGTCATCTTTAATGTCATGATGCTTGAATATGATAGTTTTACCTTCATCATTATAATTCATCCGTAGCTTTAAGATCGAATAACTAAAATGAATTATTCCCTCTATCTTATTTTATGTGTCTGGTGAGGCTTGATTGAAGTTATTTTTAATTTATTTTTTTACAAAAAAAATCACACTTTTTTCCCTGAGTTATATACTTATAGCACTTTTCCTTCTAAATTATTTAAGTGCCAATTTTTTCTCCTAAAATGTTAAATGGACATATTTATCCTTAAAATAAATATTCCATTTATTTTTCTTCTCCAACAAATAATGACCATGATTCGGTTCAACCCGAACAGATAGCAACCAAACCGAAATATATTTCGATTACAATTTAGAATCGAAACACGATATTTAAAGTTTATTAAAATCGTGAACCGAAACGGCCGATTCATGTTCCGAACTGAAAAAAATACATTTATTGTTAAATTTAGACTATTTTAAAAATAAAAAATAAAATTTTAAAATAAAGTTTGAACCAGCAGTTCAAACTGGATCCAGAATTGTTAACCGGCGGTTCAAAATCAAAACCAAAACCAATCGCGATCATATATACTTATATGTGATAATCAGAATAAATATAAAAAAGAACATACACTATTTGTATATATTATAATTCTAATTTTAAACTAATGCTAGTAGTTGTTCCAATGTGAACCGTCGGTTCACGGTTCAAGATCCAGTTTTTTTATTCATGATTTTAATAAACTGAAATCCAAATATTGGGTTCTAGATCTGAATCATAACCGGAAACTTTCAATTCAATTGCTATAATGTCCAATTCAATTCGAATCGAACTGTGGTCATCCCTACGTATAAGTAATAATTTGTTGGAGAAGAAAAATAAATAAAATGTTTACTTTAAGGGTAGAGATGTCAATTTAATATTTCGGGGGGGGGGGGGGGGGGGGGTCGGGGGGGCCGCCACTTTTTTAAAATAATTGTGGGGGCTAATATGCTTACATGGATAATTCAGGGAGAAAATGTGCAATAAACATATAATTCAGGAGAAAAAATTGCCACTTTCCCATTTTTTTATACTATTAAATTTAGTATTAATGTACAAAATTTATATATATAGAAACTACACTACAAGTATTATTATTAAACACACAAAAAAAAAATCAAATTTAAAATAAGTAAAAAATACTAAAAAAAAACCGATTTAACCAATAAATAGTAAGTAGGACATGAGAAGTATTAAATATAATACCAAATTCGTAGAGCTAAAGAGGTAATAAGATTTTTCAAAATTAAATAGGCTTAGATGGTTTTTTTTTTTTTTTTTTTTTTCTGGGAATACAAGGGGGGAACCTGGATACAAAAAATCATCTAACTAGAAGCGCCCAATTGGTCATTGCGCACCAAAACATCACACCCCAGGGGATTAGGCTCATATGTTATTACCCAAATTAGTGTTATACCCGTGTGATGCACAGCAAAAAATTTGTTATTATGAATTTAAATTATTAAAAAATAGAAAAAATGAAAAAATATTAAAATGTACAATATAATAATATAGTTATACTTTTATATAGATTTGGTGAAGTATTTATTTACATAACATACAAAATTAAAATTATAAATTTGTATGGTTAATATCATCTCTAGTTATATACTCCGTACATATTTAGATAAATTTATAGATAAAATTCACATAATTAAATTGATTTATTCCTAATTATATTTCATATGTATTATAATTCTAAGAAAATGAATATAATAACTAAGAAAATTATACTAAAAAATCAATAAAAATGTAAATTTTAAATTTTGTATGAGTAAGTTTAAAATCTAATCGGATGCATTTCCTTATATGATTGTATAATACATTGTATATACACATAATATTTATTAATATGTATATAGGTAAATTTTATAATATAATTTTATTAATTAGAATTTATATTGATAGATTTATAATTAAAAAAATTACATTTAAAAATTAAAAAATTAGCATTTAAATTTTATATGATTAATATAGTGAATAAGTATATGTATGTATGTATTTAAAAATATTTTTAAATATTTATGAACACATATTTTGTTAATTTTATAATTTCATTTCCTAAACTATATTTGATATTTTAGTTCATATTTTATTAATTATAATTTAATGAAATTGTCACAAATATTGTCACGAAAGAAATATTATATTTTGCAATTTCATTAATTACATTAATTATAACTACCTAATATTGTAGCAATTAACATAATAATTTTATTAATTATATTAATTTTAATATTTGTTTTCTTCCAATATTGAAATATATTACCATAAAATTTCTATAATAATTAATGAAATTACCACAATTTTGAAATATATTACCATAATAATGACAAATTGTTTTTTTTGCTTGGATGTATGCCAGAAAAAACGATGAGAACTGATGGAATTGTATTAACAGAACTTGATTACCATGAGATCAGATGATGTGAATATATACAATAGAGAGTCATTGTGTGATAATGATAAGAAGTAGAGAGTCACAGTGTGACAAGGATAAGAAGTTCTAAACAGACTCAGATGCATAGAGTCCTAATACTCCCCCTCAAGCACAGTGTATACTAGTAACCTGTAGTTTGTCCCTTAGGGAAGAAAATCTAGGTCCAGGTAGAGCTTTGGTGAAGTTATCAGCAAGTTGATCCTTTGTGGAGATGAAGTTGACTTGAATATCGTCTGAAGCTACTCGATCACGAACAAAATGATAATCAATCTCCACATGTTTGGTGCGCGCATGAAAGATTGGGTTGGCACTCATATATGTAGCTCCTAGATTATCACACCATAATTTTGGAATGGAAATACCCGGAATTTGTATCTCACGCAGTAATGACATAATCCATAGAACTTCAGCACAAACATATGCAAGAGCTTTGTATTCAGCCTCAGTGGATGACCTATCAACAGTTCTCTGTTTCTTGCAAACCCAGGATATAAGATTACTCCCCAAGAAAATAGCAAAACCACTCGTGAATTTTCGATCCTCGGGACAACCAGCCCAATCAGAATCAGAGAAGGCATGAATGTCTCTAGATGAGCACCGTCGTATGCGTAAACCATGATCAACTGTTCCCTTAACATATCTGAGTACCCGTTTGAGCTGCTCCCAGTGTGACATGGTGGGATCATGCATATGTTGGCATAACTGATTAACTGCAAAGGATAGGTCAGGTCGTGTGACAGTGAGATATTGCAGTGCTCCAGCTAGACTCCTGTACTGTGTGGGATCATCATATAGATCTGAATTGAAGGGGACAGTTTTCGAGATAGAGATAGGAGTAGAAAGGGGTTTGCATTCAGACATTCCAGCCCGTTTTAAAATATCATTCATATACCGTTGTTGAGATAAAATAATCCCATTGTCACTCTTAACTGTTTCAATACCCAGAAAGAAATTTGGTTCACCAAGATCTCTGATTTTGAATGTAGCAGACAGTTTGGACAAGAGCTGAGACATAATACCTTGATCACTTCCCATTACAAGAATGTCATCCACGTATACCAATAGATAAACCAAAGCAGAGTCTTTAGAGTAATAGAACAGAGAGACATCTGTCTTGGATGCTTGAAAGCCAATTGATAGAAAGAACGTATGCAGTCGATTAAACCAGGCTCTGGGAGCTTGTTTTAACCCATACAGAGATCTTTTTAACAAACAAACATGATTCGGGAAGTTAGGATCAATATAACCAGGGGGTTGCTTCATATAAACTGTTTCAGCCAGATTGCCATTCAGAAAAGCATTATGAACATCTAGCTGTTTGATAGACCACCCAGATGATAAAGCTAGAGATAGAAGGAGTCTTACAGCCGTAGGCTTTACCATTAGACTAAATGTGTCAAAGAAGTTCTGGCCTGGAACCTGATTAAAACCTTTCGCAACCAGCCTGGCTTTATGCCTTTCAATAGCACCATCAGCCTTTCTCTTCGTACGAAACACCCATTTACAGCCAATAATATTCATACCTGTAGTGGGTGGAACTAGAGACCATGTGTGGTTATGCAGGAGAGCATTGAATTCTTGGTCCATGACTTCACGCCACTCAGGATATTTGACAGCTTGAGAGTGACATGTGGGTTCCGTGGGATGCACCTGAGCTGCTAGAGCAAAAAGAGGAGCATCTGCGTTGCTGCGAGTGGCCATAGAGTGAGTACGGACATTGGGCCTGGTGGACCGCCCACATGGACGGCCTCGCTGGCGAGCAACAGGCTCCACCGGATCACCCGACGAGGCAGCCTGTCCGAGATCCAC